ACTATCATGACTCAAGTCTACTTTACAAACCTGACTAGAATAGACCATGTACATTGATACAGATAGCCCTGAACACAGGGAATCCAGGATAGATAAACCCCTCAGGACCAACAATGAGAATAGAGATACCAGGAGCATAAGGGGAAGTTGGGGAAGTGGGGTGAAGGGGGAATCAATCACAAGGATTGACATATAACCCCCTCCCAGGGGGATGAATAACATAAAAGTGGGTGAATGGGTGACAGAGGACAATGTAAGATATGAAAATAATATTCTATAATTTATCAAGGGTTCATGAGGGAGGGAAGATAGGGGAGGGAGGGGGAATAAGGAGTTGATAACAAGGACTCAAGTAGAAAGAAATTGCTTTGAAAATGATGATGGTAACATATGTACAAATGTGCTTGACACATGGATGAATGGATTGTGATAAGAGCTGCAAGAGCCCCTAGTAAAAGTAATTAATTAAATTGAAGAAGAGAAGAGAAAGGGGTAGCTGGAGACAGAGAGATGAAACAGAAGATGGAGTCTGAAGCCAGGGAAGATGGGGAGCCCCTAGAAGCTGAGACTGACCCTTGTCCGTGATCTATGAAAGAAACAAGGAACTCAGTCCCATAACCAAATAGAATTGAATTCTTGTAGTAACTTCAATGAGCCTGAGAGTGGATTCTACTTTGACTTTGGTTATATGAGATCCTAAGCAGAGGAAGGACCCAAGCAGACATGCTAGACTTCTGACTGACAGAACTGCAAGATAAGAAATGGGTATTGCTTTAAGCTTTTCAGCATACCCAAATGATTGTGTCATCAAGAGAAAGAGAATAAAGAATGAATTTGAGATAAGGAATAAGGGCTCTATAAAGGCCACCTGAAACCTAATACTGTGCCTGAAGCTTGTATAGCTATCCAGATGTCCAGAATAAGGTCCTGCTTATTACCTCACTTCACTGCATGTTTTAGCTGGTGCTTTTACGAATGTGAATTTCTTCTCGCACAGCTCTGAAAGCTAAAATTCTAAATCAGGGTGTTGGCCATGTGATTTCTTCCTTCAGGAGTGTGGAAGTTACATAATTTCATGTCAACCTGAAGATATATAAAAGGGTAGAGGTGGTATTCAACCTGTCAATCAGGTCGCAGCCTGATGGTGCCTCCTTGTGGGTGTGGCCTCCTCATAAGAAGGGCCAGGGTACCTCCCCGCTCTCTCTGCTTTGACCTTCCTGATTGCTGCCTCTGAGAGCTGCTGGAGCCTGGCCATGGCTCCATCAACCACGGATCCACATGGCATTGCACACACCAGTCTGTGATACTCCTGCTCTGCATCAATGCATGTGACCTCGTGAGTCTGAAGAGGGGCTTGTGGACTAGTATCACACTCATGGACTTGAGGTGGACTTGGCTGAGATCATTTCCCTATATAAAATTACTTCTTGATATAAAGCCCTCTCTTACACATTATATGAGTGTCACTTGCTTTGTTTCTCTAGTCCACCTGGCCTAACACATGGGATTCCTCAGAAAGCCTCTCAGGGCATTTGTCTTTCCCCACACGTGTGCACATTTATGTGTCTAATCTGCTGGTTTTACTCAGACGTGATTAGATTCAGAGCCTGTGCTACTTCAGCACAATCTTATTAATGTAGTGATGAAGCTTCCAGCGTACGTTGGGGTGGGCACAGCTTAATCTATAATCTCACAAGAATTGTATGGAGAATATAGAAGGAGAATGGCCAATTCAGTTCTTTCAATGAGAAACCTAAGACAGAAAGAGGTTTACCACTGCCAACAGTAGCATGTCTAAATAGTGAGAAGACAGCGACTAGCACTTCAGACTTGTGACCATCAGCCCAGGAACCTTCTGGGAGGAGGCTTAGCACACCAGGTCATCTACTCACCTTTCTGTAGATAGCAAATATGGTTCCAATGGAGGCAAGGCAATCAATGTTGGAAGATCCATCCAGTGGATCAAAGCAGACCACATATTTCCCCTAAATGAACACAAGGAAGAATACTCCAGGTTATCCTCTGAAAATCAGCAAAATCCATCCATGTAAGTGGTACTTGTGGCAGAGAGCTCTATGTCTAAGAGACCTGGAGCAACCGGACATCCTTGTCAGAACACGCTACAATACGGAGAGCAGCGGGTAGCAGCAGCTGCACTCTACATTGAGTTCTGCATCTCAGAGGCAGCCCTGCCCACAACAGATTAGTCGACACCGAGGCACGGTGTGACTTGAGTCCCATCCATCTCCAAAGAGCTCTACTTCCTTCCTGCTCTGGAGCTGCCCTGTCCTCCCTCCTAGGTGTGTTGAGGACATAGAACTGCTCTGTGTGTTGTAGCAAACCAGTTATGAGCTGGATACTCTGCAGAGAAAGTCAGCTTGGACTCTTGCCAAAAGGTGCTTCAAACCAGCTCTCCTAGTACCCCCAGGGGACTCTGTTATTAATTTATTTGCAATTCTTTCTGGGGTCTTTAACACCATGAAAG